TGTTCATTTACTTCTTTCCATGGGAGATCGATATGTGCACAAAATCAAAGTATAACTTCTAAGTGCTAACTCTGGAATTCTTCTATGTGACTCGTCTAAGGGCGTTGGTCATCAGGAGGAAAATATGTGTGGAGTTTGGACACTTCCAGCTCTATCGCTGAACTCCGCGAATTCTGACAAATTTCCTCTATATGTCACGATCGGTGACCAATCATCATGCAAAGATTCCTCCGTGAGAATGGATGGAAAGGGGGATATGTGAGGGGTAAACATTTCCCATCAAAGCGAGAGTTTTCGCAGATAAGGGAAAAACAGAGGATGTTCTAACTTCTGTGAAAGGAAGTAACATCTGTTATCTATTTTTCCCACTCTAAAACTTCATTTTTCTCACCCAAACGAAAGAATATTTTATAACAATATTTAACATTATTAATAAAATTACTGATTTTAGCCCAGGGGCCTTTCAGGTCTCACACATTCAGACATGTCTCAATGTAGCTCAAGTTTGTGAATACCCTCTGTGTATAGAGAGAGAAAGGCTGTTGGATAAACCTTTCAATTACAGCTGCTTGAATTTTGTCAGATTAGAATCTATGAGCTTTGAGAAATGTTTTTAAAGGTCTGAAAACATGGAAGTCACAAAACAGCATATTGGTGTTGCAAAATTCCTGTCTGAAGTGATGCAGCATCCTCCTTACAGTTCTGATGTGTATATCATCTTGCAGCTTTGGACTGGACTTTTTAAAAAATTTCTCAAAACTTGCAGATTTCAGTCTGACAGCAAAATGAGAGCAACTGTAACTGTGAATGGTTCATCCAGCAGTCTTCCTCTTTTCATGGAAAGTATGGACCATGACGTGTCTGAATGCAGTTGGCAGTTTTCTATGTAGCATCTAATGCAACCTTGTCATTATTCTGTATATACTTTAATGCTGCTGTTTTGACCACTAGATACCATATGTTTAATACAGTGCAGTCTGTTTCATTTGAACAACCTTATATTAACTTACATATAATTTGTTTTTCATTAAAAAAATTTTTCCAACAGGATCTTGTTTGCAGTCACAGTGTGGAAGTCCTAAAGTCAATACCCACCCTGTTATCATTGCTCCAGTTAATAAGAATTCAATTAATACCAGTGTCAACAGTTCTGTTTATAGAACATTGGTTCCCTCTAAAGTAAGATTGGTATAATTTTCATATTAAATATATTTATTTCATTAACTTTTAATGATAAATAAGTTTTTATTAGTTCAGAAAATTAGTGATATATTGAAAATTTAAATAAAAGTAATTATCATAGTCAAGTTCACAAACTCACTTGTTCACAAATCACAAACGTTTATATTAACGATTAAAACTTACATACAGTTATGAATTTCACAAAAATAAAATAATTACAATAATCCAGATATAGCAAAGTTCAAATGTCAAGTAAACCACAACAACAGGTCCATCAAAAAGGACTCCTTGCGACGTATTCCTTCAGACATTGGTTATCGCACAGCGAGACAAAACAACCTTCTTAGGCGAAGCTAAAGAAACTTGAGTTCCCTGGATATGTCTTAGACGAACTGAACTTCCTGCCTAATCTCAATCCTTTTATACGGATTGAAACAAATGTAAGTCCTCCAATCAGTGATTACTAGTGCTATCGGACATCCGCTGGTCGTACGATGTTTTCTAGCCAATCCGCGGAAGAGTTTCAAAACTACTGACATCGCCAGATCTGCGTCTCCATGACAACGTCCGTTGGTCATTTGAAAACAGGAAAAGCGCAGGAAATCGTACATCCTGATGATTTATCCCGACAATCATATTGCAGTGAAGTATTAACAAATTGCCTGTTGTGGTTTTCTAATTAATTCTACTACCTAGTAATTTAGCTCTTGAATAGTATTATTTTTATTGTCCATTGTAAATATCAGATTTTTCCTAATGTTAACAACAAAAATCTTTACTTTCTTAAATGCATATTTTATGAAAAAGCATAAAGAATTTTCACAAAATATATGAAAATGTGATTTATGTAATGCTTGAAAATCTGTTTACATATGTAGAGTTTGGTAAGCAAAACTTTTAATATATCATTTTTTTTTAATTATTTTAAAAAGTTACTGGAACTTTAAAAAAAAAAATTTTTGCTGGAGAGAACAAATCACAAGGAACACACTAGTAATTGACTATTCCAACTTTTATTATAAAAGGAAATGCATTTTGGGCCTTCTGTCTCTCCTCGGTCCTTTATTACAGATCTTTGACTTTTTTCTTATAATTATGTTAGTGATCAATGGATGAATCAACTTTGTGATACATTTATTTTAATTTCAGTTATTTATCATAAGACTAGGATAAAATATATATATCTTTTTTAATTTAAAAAAAGGGTTTATTTATCTTTATAAAAGTGAAAGTAAATGTGAATTTCTTTAAAAATTTACATTTTGATTACAATTGATAAAAATAAATACATGAAATAAAATTAAAACTAAAATTTTTTTAAAAATTAAGAAAAGCGTATATTTGTGTAAAAATAAATATAAATACTTTAAAATAGCGATTAAATAAAGAAAATCTTTTATAATAAGACTATGATAAATACAAGTTTCTTTTAATTTTATTATGGTCCTTATTGACATGACCATGTCTTGTTTATAAAATTGCAGTGTCGTTATGGGTACACACCTTAGAGGTATAAGGGTGGGCATGTCAGGAGTTGCAATTTGGCACAGAGTATTAGGTTCCCAAATCAGGAGCGCACAAAAAAAAAACTCTGGGACTGAGAACAGAGTCAAAATAAAATACAAAATGGTGACATGTTTCTACAGACAAGAGTGCAAGATTTGTTTGTGCATGTGTATATCGTTGGGAAGTTGGAAATGCAAATGTTGCAAAATCGAATTTTGACAAATGAATCTTTGAAAAAACCTATTTACTTCTCTGGTCACAACCTGCTGACCTTGACTGGTTGACCAGCGATATCTCGTTTCAGCATCAGAATGTTTTTGAAACTAGATGGCGCTAGTCATTATAACTTTATATTAAAAGCAACTTCCGAAATAGAATTTTTTTTTTTGTTTTTACATTTATTAATATATTTATTTTGTTTATGCAAAATAAAAAAAAAATTTTGGATGATACAATAGTCATGATTATTTTTTTTCAAAAATGGGAAATTTTCATTAGGCATTAACAAAACTTCAACCTGGAGTGACACACAATGGACAGAAATTTCTACATTGTATAGGTTAATTTCACTGAAAATGCTTCGTGGTCATGGCCGAGGCTGGCGAAGTTTGAACGATTGTGTCGAGCCCCGAGTCTTTGAGACATAGTCTTGTCCCAAAAATTGGCCTTGCTGTTTTACTTGTTCATTTTATTATTGTCTATAGCAGTCCATATTGCTTCAGACACATGATAAACATATAATTAGTGGTTAAAGATATATGTTAATATTATTAAATTACCTTAGTTGGTCTGGCAAAACCAGTAAACAGGAGAATGTGCTTAAACATACTGAGTCAATTTCAAAATAAATTATAGACATAACTTAAAGTTATACATAAATAAAATTTATTTTTTATTGAATTTTATCCAGTTTTTATGCCTGTGAACACAATACTGTTTCCATCGTATGAGGTTATTTCATTTAATTTGTTATTTGTGATATCTGTCTTGTGCAAAAACACTTTTATTTTTCTAATTCCTAAAGTTGTCTGTAAATACTAATTCTGAGCTAATTTTACTTAGTTTGTTTAATATAACTCTCTTCAGTAATTGTTTAGAAAGTTTTACTAAGTAAAGATGTCCCGTCGAGAATTTCTGTATTGTTGATATCAAGATAACTTTCATATATGTTTATATATAAAATTTTCACAAATTTTATTATAAATATAAACTGACCTCTATAAAACTGAGTTGTCTGTAACAATATATTCCAAAATGTTTGTGGCTATTTCTTTTGCATCCCAACTTAATTAATGCTAAAATATTGGTGCAGACTTCTTGTTACATAAGGATATAAAATATACTGATGCTTATGATCAATTTTGAATTACCATTAATTTTTGTCAGCTTCAATTGGAACTTTAATTCTAGTTTTTTGTCTGATTTAGTCAGATTTTTGTCCCTTTTTTTGTGTAGAAGCATCATCTACAACATAAATTGCTATGATTTCTAAGGAAATTGTACTGTGTGTAATTATTGCAAAATGACATTCAATATATACTTTCTCCAAAAGATGTAATGTTTTGTTCACTCTGTTTCCATTTTCAAATTTGAAACAAAAATTTATGCAGTTTTAGTAACTTACTCTCTTTAGTGTGAAACATAAAATTATCTTACACACAACATATGCTATTAAAACTACAATAATTGCAAAAGATAAATGATTTACTGTATTTAGTCATGTAACAAATTCATACTTTCTCAAAATTTCTCATTTTAAATCTCTGAATTTATTTATTTATGATATGAGCCATTGATTTTGGAAGTGGGGCAAGTCCATTTTATGTTATTGCTAGATATTTAATGGTTTGCATTTGAATGGGTTTAAAAATATTCATAAGCAGTAATAGACTTATTTTATATTTTTTGTGGTCTTATTTCATGCAAATTTAATATGTAATAATGGTTATCCATGTTAGGTGAAAAAATCATGGTTTTTGGATGTGTCAATAGACTTGCCTCACTTTCAAATGCAATGATTTGTTGAAAACATTGATTTTCTTTGAATGAAATATAATTATAACAACAAAAAATTGAATATTTTATTTATTTACTTATTTATTTTATTTCAACATTTCATACTTCTTTCAAAAAGATACAATAAAACAAAAATAAATTTAATTTTATAGGAAAAACTGGAGAAAATAAGAAAAAATATTCAGTAATAAGTTGCATGCATATAATTATATTTCTTAGTTTAGATGGTGCAGATTTTTAAAGTATCCGTGATGAATGGGTGGTACATAGGGTGATAAATTCATCATATCTTTATATTTTTCTTTAGTAACAGGCCAAGTTTTCACATATAAAGATGACAATATTATTTTTCCAAAACTATTTGGCCTACCCTATTTTGGTGATAAATCAAGAGTTTTAAAGTGTGAATCTTTTTCCATTGATGTTTTATAAAACAATTTATACAGTGCATTTCTTGAAAATCTTATCCAGAAAATATTCAACCAATTGACAGTTTGTTTCTCCATCAGTATTTTTTGTTCTTATCAAAATTGCCTCCTCCAGAGGTTTGGTTGAATAGAAGCCTTTATTTTTCATTTCATGTAATAAAAATGCATTATGTTTGCGACATTTTTGTATTAATTTGTAACAATCCAGGGCAACAGAGAGTCACGCTGTCGTTATTTAGAGTAGACTTGCCTCACTTTCAAAATCAACTTACAATAAATATCGTTGACAATATAAATTACTAGTAACAAATTTATACTGATATTAAAAGATATTTTTTGTGAATTGATAAAAAAACAAATTTTATGTTAATTTCTAATAAGAATTAGCTTTAACTATTTTTTTCACAAAATAGACTTGCCCTACTTTCAAAATCAATGGCTCATATATATTGGTGGAAGAAATATATCTAATCACATATTTCTTTCGCCAATTAAGTTTTCCAACATCTAAAATATAAAATATTAACAGTAACAACATTTCTAACAACAATTTCTAGTCACTTTATATTCATGTTTTCCATATTTTTTATTTGGATTCTATCATCTAAAACTTAAGAAATCCTGAAAAATAGATTTAAGTGCTTGCTCTGATTTTTCTGAAATTTTAATGTAATATGTTTTATTGTTCAGGAATACATAAAATGGATAAATTTCTCAAATATTGATTTGATATTGATAGTAAATAAAATTCATTAAATTCAATCTTCTCTAATCATAAATTGTTTTATACCTAATTACATTTTAATTGTTTAATTTTTTTTTATCTAGAAAATGTCTCATTCAGTTATGTCAAATATGGAAATACTGGTAAAAAATCCAAAAGCTCCAGGTAATAAAAGTGACTTTTTGAAAGCTTTAAGAACTGAAACTGGAAGCAAGGGAGATGATGCCAAAGAAGGAAATAAAGAAATTGAAATTGTCTCTCCAGAAAGAAACAAACAAAACCAGGTAACATAATGCTTTTAAATGGTTTGCATTAAAGTGTTTTTTTTTATAAAAGATGCCAAAACTTATAAACTGTATCATACATTATTTATCAGATAAAACTATAAAAATTTAGAATGAATGCTTAAAGTATATTTTGGAGGAAAAATTTAATTTTAGAGCTATGGAAACAAGAGCTATTTCATGTTTGTGTGTAAATGATATATAAATAGATAATTATTAAGATACAGCTGGATGTTAAATCATTAAACACACAATAAGAAATTATATTAACTGGACAGAATATAACATGGACCATAAAGACAGTGCTAGTGAACTGTGGTTTATTAAACTGAAATTTTTGAAACATATTTGTTTATTTACATCAAAACACTTTAAAAAGATTGAAATGATCTTTATGGCATGCATTGAACAATGAGCTTTTTGTTGAATATTTAATATCTTACTTTTGCTTTCTTAGCATCCTGTAATATAGTAAATGTAATGTATAAGATACTGTTAAATAATGCTTTATTTTTTAATTCAAAATGTTAGTATTAAATATTTAAAATGACATCCTCCAGTTTAAGTTTCATATATTAATTAAAGTCATTTTATATTAAATAATTTTATTCTATATACAGTTGAACTTGTCTATCTTGAATCCCATGAGAATGAGAAAAAAAATTCAAGATAGACAGGTTTCAAGACATAGAGGTTTTACATAGTAAACAGTAATAGATTTGATTAGATATAGTGTCCTATTAATACAATAGGAAGTACAGTAATACAGTAGAGCATCGATTATCCAAAAGTCAATCATCCAAAAGAATTCCAGTCGGCAAATTTAAATTTTCACCAGTGCTGTGGCTTCAATCTTTGGCTATGTCTTGGGCTACTCAAATATTTTACGTTTTTCATACTAAATTAACTTCTGAAGTATAATTTTTTATTGTTTTTATATTTTTCAATATATTTATTTTGTTTGTANTTTTCGCCAGTGCTGTGGCGCTGTAATCTTTGGCTATGTCTTCGGCTACTCAAATATTTTACGTTTTTGATACTAAATTAACTTCTGAAGTATAATTTTTTATTGTTTTTATATTTTTCAATATATTTATTTTGTTTGTACAAAATAAAAAAAATAATTTTTAACGATACAATAGTCTTCATTAGACTTAACATCAACGAAAATTCAATGCAAAGCGACACGCAACGGAGAAAAATGCCAAGATGGGATAAATTAATATATTTTTTCGTACATAATTGGTTATCCAAAACATCGATCTTCCGAACAACCCCAGTCCCAATTGATTTGGATAATCGACGCTCTACTGTAGTTTTATTGTTGTTTCTGTTAAATATAAAATTTTTATTTTAGGGAGAAAATGGTAATGAAATTGATGACAAAGAAGAACATGTAAATAGTATCAATATTGAAAAGTTATCTTTGAATCAAGATACCAATGAAACAGCACTCTCTAGTTCTTTGGAAGCTGAGCAAAGGTAATTATTATAATTATTATTATTAATATTTTTATAGTTTGAAATTTTTATCATATAATGACTATCATAATAGTTACTTTTAAACATTATTTGTATTGTATTCTACATCTGTATTAATGAAAAAAGTAACAACTTATAAATATTAGATATAAATCATATATACAAAAAGGAAGAATATTATATAGAACAGAATAATGACATAATATCCTAAAATATGTAAGAAAAATTTTTTTAATACGTTTGAGTTGTTTTTTATGGACTTTCATTAATTTAACATAAAACTATATTATTTTCATTACTTTTTTATATTGTGTTAACAGTATAAAAATATTAACAATTTTTTTAATTAAATTGACTATATAACAATTTTTTATTAAGATGTAATTCATCACACTTTCAGTTGTGAGATACATGATAAATAGTTCTATGCAGTAAAACCACTTTAAGACATCCATTCCCAGAACTTAGAAAATTTGGTCATATTTGGTACTTCTGTTTTTGTGATGTTCATTATATTGGATAAGAAATAAAACATAGTCTAATTTTGAAAAACTAAAGTTTAATGTCTCAAAAATAAAATAAAACAAATTATTACATAGGACGTTACCTGTTAAAACAGCAATACAAAATGCACATGGTTACTTAAAAAACTGTTATTTTTGTTTGTTGATTTTTGCTGGTTTCATAGCATTCTGTAATATATATTTACACCTCAGCAAAACTATTTAAAATATTTTGTGGAGTATTGTGCATTTGTAAAAATTCTCGAATAACAATAATGTTTTGCAAAACCTCAGAAATTGGTGTTATCAGAACATTGACACCATCTGCGTATGTTGTATCATCATCTTCATCTTCACTAATTTCATTATTTTTGGAAGACACTAAAGCTATAATATCAGTCAAAAGTTCTCTACTAATAACATTGTCATCAATTCTGACATATTCTTCAAAATTGTAGTTAGAAAATGCATCCAGTAACTGCAGAGGAAACATATCTTGAACACCTTTTGTTTCATCATTTGTAAGTTTACTTTTCAAAAGTTTATTGATCAGAATGTCTTCATCTAAATCAAAATCTTCTCCATTAGTTTGTAGAAAACCATGTATTGAAAACAGTTTGCTATTGTTTGCATTGATAGAGTTTGCCATGCCATATGGAGTAAGTTTATTGCATCAAGATTTATAGAAAACGATTCTTTGCTATTATCTATAGAAGTTATCATTTTCAAAAGAATTCGCCAATAGCTGCTTTTTATAACCCCTTGATCTAAAGGTGGTTATGGTTTTGAACTTGTATTGTGCAACATGAACACCAGTGTAATGCTATGTAATTTCTTGATGTCAGGATGCACAGGGCAGTTGTCCATCAATAATAAAATTTTTTATTTTTTTCTTATCTGTTCTTCATCCCATTCTCGCAGTTTTCCACAGAAAATGTCAGAGGTATCCAAGCTCTTTGGTTAGATTTGTAGTTTACCAATGGCCATTGATTTTTAAAACATCTTGGATTTTTTGATTTACTGATTACTAACAATTTTCTCTTTTCTGTTCTTATAAGATTTACTGCTAGTAGAATAGTAATACTTTCTTTAGATGATTTTCCTCCTGCACAGCATTTTCCTTTGAATTTTAGTGTCCTATTTGGTGTAAGGTTATAAAAAAGACTTGTTTCATTTGCATTAAAGATATCACAATCTTGGAAATTTTCTCTAATTTTTGGCCACTTATTTTGATACCAGTCTTCTACCATGTCCATGTTTACTGCAGCTGCTTCTCCAACAATTTTTTGGCTTCCAGTACTAAGTCTTTTTTTTTAAATCTCTTGATCCAATTTATAATGTATTTAAACTCAGTACTCTTTTCCAAATTTGCTTCTTAACTCTTCTGCGTTTGACTGCAATAGTCACTAATAGTCATGTTTTTAAGTCGTTGAGAAAACGAATTTAACAATACTTGATCTAATTCATCATGTGCTGATTTTCTAAGCTTTTTAGCATTCAAATTGTCTTGTTCAAACCTCACGAGTATTTTCTTTTTTCTTCCAAATGGTAGTTCTCTATTTAGTTATATTAATTTCTTTACATAATTTGCTTTGCTTTACACCACTTTCTAACTTTTTAATAATTTCATATTTAGTCTGTAATGTAAATGATTTACATTTCTGTTTACACTGATTAGTGTTTAAAGTCATCATATTTCACAAGGACTTAAGCACAGTATTTCGTAATTCTGACTTCAGATGGCAAGAGTCAATATGCCTGAAGATTATGCGCAGTTCATTATTCTTTATAACCAACACCAGTGAATGGAATTTTTCTAACCAATAACAGCATGAATTTAAAATTTTGTGATGGTTTGGTTTTGAAATTTAAATTTAAAATTCTGTATTTACAGTTGAAATTTTTTAGCCAATGAAAAGCATATTTAATTTCCAAACATTAAATGGGTAGGAAATCTAACAAAATCAAAATGTTAACAGTTGTTAACAGATAAGAAATAACATTTAAAATTTAAATTACAGCACTAACAAATGAAAATTTTTGACTAAATTTCTAAGTTCATTGTTAATAAGTGAACACTACTGTATTTATTAAACACTATTTACAATGATTTTTATTTAATTTAAATACTCTTCTTAAATATATTTTGTATATAATAAATAAAAATACTATTTTTTTTATCAAAAAGCTTATTACAGCCAACTTTATTTCTATTAAACTACTAATGTATTCATGATGCATTAGTGAAAGAAGTTGGGCATCAGAGCCAATTTTTAAAAAATACCAAGTTGGGAGTCGTGTACTTTACTTCTGACTCCCATCCCTGATAAAAAGGATTTTACAGATCTTAGCAATAGAAAGTTATAAAGCATCATTTTCTCTACTATAATTGGAGGTATTTCTTTTTATTTTGGAGAGAAGGAAGTGGTCACATCCAGTTATTGATTTTTGGATCTAAATTTGACACCCCTTAGACTTGATCTTATAATAAAATCCTTTAAGCTGCTATTAACTTGAAAGGAATAATGACAGATTGGAATTTAATGTGTTTATTTTCAATTTTGGATTGTATTGCATAAAAATATTTATAAAATCAATAATACTATAAGTTTACAATGTTTTGTATCACTAGAATTGTTGGAAAAGATGAAAATGAAAGTTATGTTCATATTTTTTTTGTGTGATTGATTGTTAACAACTATTAGTTAAAAATTGGCTTCTCATGGACCACATGACTGCTTACATTATTTTTATACAGCTGCTGCAAGGTTAAAATTTGTCCCAAATAAGCAGCTGTCCTCATTTACTCTACAGCTCTATTCAATGAATCTATTTATATAATAATTTTTAAGTAAATTTAATTTTTTTTTAAAAATAAGATATATATATATAAAATTTCAGGTTACTTCGAGAGATGGGTTGGAAAGAAGAGGGTTCAGATGACGACGATACTTATGCACCACTTACAGAAGATGAGCTGCGTGAATTTAGAGATTTAAGCCAAAAGGTATTACACATGTAAATTTGCTTTAGAAAATGTAAAAATTTTTATATAGAATATATTAGAGCTAGGGACTGATGATTTTAAGTAAAAAAAAAAAAGAATCTCTCTAATAAACTTAAATATTAAAAAAGGAAACAATCAACAAATTGTGAAAACTTAACACAATTTCTTTCACTATTAAACTAAATGTTTATTAACTATTTCTTTGGAATTTACATTATTACTATTCCAAGCAAGTTTGGATTTTGTTAGTAGATAATACAGTGAAGTGTCCAAAATCTAGACATGAAAAATCTAGATTCAGCTATTGAAAAATGAATATTAATCCTTCAGTGATAACTCATCATTGCTCTTTCAGCCTTTTTTTTCAATGTTGATGTTCTAACATTCATTCAGAATTTGTAAAATTTTTAATTGTGAAATTATGATTAATGTATATTTTTTATTAACTATAATGATTCTGTAAGTTATATTTTGAAACTTTGATTTATAGTATATTTAGAGTTTACAGTATTTAAGTTGCTAATTTACTTGTATTGTTTTGTAATTTATTGAATTCACAATAATATAAAATACATAAATTATCATTCAACTAAGCTGTAATCATTATTTGAAAAAGCAGATAGAATATATTTAGTAAGGATTTTTTATTATTATTATAATCTATCTATTGAATTTCATCATTCTTAAAAATATTTGTAAAACTATAAAAATTAAAATTATTTTTATCAAATAAAATATTCTGCTATGTTTATTATTTAAATTATAAAATTTTAAGTTTGTCTTTTAAAAAAATTGTTTTTGTTTATAGATTGCTGAGAAGAAGAATGGAATTCAGAAAAATTTGCAAATGACATTAAGTCCTAAGCGTTTACCTCCACCTTATCTTGCTGTTGGGCCAAGAATTGATAGTTGGTCAAGTTTTTCAGAAACAGATTCTGATTCAGATTAAAAGAATTGTCTTATTACAACATACCCTGTTTTTCATTGTTTCTTTATTTTGTTGTCATTCTTGCCATATTGTATTCTTAGAAAATGCAAAAAATTGATACTTTTTTCCTAGTGTCATCAAATACAATAAAATGCACTTATGGTTTCATTCTTTTAAAGCTAGATAAGGCTATTCAGTGAAGTACAAAATTTACAATTTAATGAAGCTAATGAATTTAACTTACATTTATTTTTCTAAACTTTTTTTTTAAATTTAAGTAACTTGAATTTAAAGAATGTGCATAAGTTTTCACTATTAAATTGTGTCACACTATATCTTACGATAATACTTGTTTAAAGAGATAATATAAATATTCATGCATTTTAAAACAGTGAAAAATAGCATGCCAAAATTCCCTTTGTTACTGATTGTACAATAAATGGTAAAGGGAATATTTCTTGCATGTGAGACAAAACATATTTTGGCTCATGATTGTTGAAGTAGAATAAAGAGCACAATTTTGCTACATGGGAATGTTTGAATAATTAATTTTTATTTTTGAATACATTTAAAATACTTTCCACACAAAAAATATTTATTTTTCACTTTAAAATCTACATAAAATGACTCATAACTAATCAAAATGTTTTGGCCAAATGTTGTTCAAAAACGGATACAAAAGCATAGATTTGATTTGATGATTTTTTTTTGTATATTTAATTTTTTCAGTGTTTAATTAAGCAATAAAGATAAGACAAAGATAAGATTTATTTATTATTATTGTTTATTTATAGATGTTTAATAATAATTATTATTATTAAATATCTATAAATAAGGAACATTCAGATTTTTCCATTAATTATTTTAAATCATTTCTTTAATTCATTTGTATCTTGTTTGAACAGTGTTTGAATAGCATTTTTACAAGTTAATTTCTAAATAATAGTTGGAATAATGCTAATTTCTGATCATTTTCAAACTCCTTTATTAAAAGATTATCACTTGACACTTGTTTATCATTAATATTAAAAAAAAACAGTTATAAGGAAATGAATTTTTAAGAGCTTTACATTTATTTTTATAAATATTAAACTTTTTTCTGAATTCTATATGAAATTGAACTTTACTCCCAACTTTTGTCAAATATAAAATATATCTATCCAATCCTGTTTCATCTAAATAATTAGCAAGTTATTAATTAAGAATATATATGTATATTGCATTCTCTATAAATAGATGTTCAGTCAAGAATTTGTAATTTTGCATAGCTCTGTATCTGTTATTCATCATGACTTGAAAATGATTTCCTGTTCTCACATTGTTTTGAGGAAGTTAACAGATGAATAACATGAAGAATATGCACTTATGCATAAGCTAATAGACACAATAAGAACCCAGATGGCAACTCATGGCAAGAGTCAAATTGTACAAATGGAAAAAAGAATTCTTTTAAAAAGGAACAGAAGGTTCTGATAATTAGCAACCCAGTGTAAGTAGTATTTAACCATATCTGTTATGTAGATTTAAAATGAAGTTAAGACATCTTGTAAAGTAAGAACATTTTTATTTGAACAACTTTGCAGAAAAATGTATTGATATTAGACCACGTAGAAAGTTTTTTCTATCGGAAAATAACATTATGTAGATTTTTGGATGATAACTGGTTAGGTTAGCAAATATAAATGTTCATGTCATAAGAGTATGGTATGGCAGCAGGTAAAGAATTTTCAAAAGACAAAGGACAGAATTATAACTTCACAATGAGAAGTGCTTGGAGACAAACCTCCCAATGTTTATGCATTAGTAAAACTGCAGTCTAGCATATTTTAAATAAGTTTAAGGATGGTGGGTCTAGAAAATAAGATCAGGTTGTTCACTAATAAGTAACATAAACTATGGCAGGAAAAATTGTACTGCATCCTCATATGAATTGTTAATAAAATAGAATGCCTGTTTGTGTGAAAGAATTGCATGTAATTTTCTAACATCAATGGGCTATTTATGAAAAAGAAGCTTATCACTCCTGCACAAGTCAGAAAATGTCTCAGGTGAACAGAACAAGAAACTTGGTCAGCAGATATGTGGAAACAGGTTATTTTCTTTGATGAAAGTAGAATCTGTGCATTGGTGAAATTGCAGTCTATCATATTTTGTGATAATGTTGATCATAGGCATTCCATCTTAATTGAATACATGTCTACTGTGAAGTAGATGTAATGTAATGGTGTAGGGATATATGGGAGATTCTAGAGCAGGAAACCTGTGTATTTTGCATGGAACAATTAATTCTACTGTGTATGAAGCCATTCTGGAATATATAGTAAATTCCCACTGTACTCTTTAGAAGAATTTTTCAGATGATGTGTTTTTTCAGCAAAACTGCATTCTGCAATACCAGTAGAAAGATAAAGCAATCTTTAGTAGAGCACATCATCCCATTGTTAGAATGTCCTTCAAATAGCCCACACCTAAGCCCTACAGAAATAATATAACATGTGATAGAGTGCAGTAAAACATCGACAAATAATACCTGAACTAAAATTTGAATAATGGACAGATGGAGGAAAATCACACCACAAATGTGTAAAACTTATTGAAAAAATATCTGCACGTACTTAAGGCTGTGGTAAGGCCTACATCATATTAATGTTGATTTCTTATTTTTGTGTTTGATCATTTAAATTTATAGTAAGTGAACAGCAATAAAATCACTCGTAGCTGGCTGTGCGCAGATTGTTCGATTGTAGCATTGCTTACTTCCCTCAATCCATTTTGCGGCACCCTGGTTGAAAATCACTGATACAGTCGTCTACGTGTTGAATAAGTACTAACTTGTTTGTGTTTTAGCCGTACTTATAAATTCGTGTGGGAATTTACAGTAGACTCGATTTGTTGAGTTTCGTGAACTTTATTTTTGTTCCAACTTAACTCCTCTAGACAATGCATTCCGCGTTCTTATAAGTGGGAGTAGTTTTGAGTTCGCATTTCTCCAACTCGAAATTTCAGATCTGGAGAATTACGTCTGATTATGATTTTGTTTTTCTTTCTTTTGTAAGAAATTACTTTGTTTTATTCACTCCAGATTCGAGAATTTACTAAATTACAAAAAGTAAATATAAAAAAGCAAACTTTATGGGCCGATTGCAGAGACGAAGTTTAGAGGCCGACGGCGGTTTACAGATCAGGTAGACCGCTGTTCAGAAAAATTTCATTGCAAAGACGGCGTTTCTCGCCTGCCACAATGTAGACAGCGATTGGAAACAAGTTATTTTACCTTCTTTCTAGACTCACTGGACAGCGGGTTTAAAGGACTTTTCAATTCGAGTGGTAGCTTTGTTCGTGGAAAAGTTTAGATAAAAACAGATATCGTTCCTTTGATAAATGTTGTAAACGGTACGAATCGACAAAATTATTCATTAATTAATTGCTCGGAGCAAAAACAACAAAATTAAATACTTTAAATTTGTTTTAAATGTTCCAATTTCGACATTCAAATGGGTGAAGACTTAAAACTTCAATTTAATTTAAATCAGATGCATTTATTTACAATTCGAGTATCGTGTCGGTTATAAAACGTTAATGCATTTCCGAGTCATTGTACTGTTAAACAAAAGAGACAATTTTAATAATTACAGAAATCTGTTTATAGATATTAAAAAAATGTAATATTAATAATAAAATATTTAAAATTATTCATTTCGACAGTAATAAGATATCGAAATAATTCCTTAAAAATCTATTCCGAAGACGAATTTCGAATTCGGTATAAATTTTCTAAATATGGATTTGTTCATATTTTAAATCGTATTGGCGACGAAATTAAATATCGAAATGGAAAAGGGTTATCATTAATTACCGAACAATGATTTTGACGGCCTTAAGATTTTATTTCTGGAAGCTTTCGGAATATTGCGGACGACCATTTCTGACGTCACGAAGAAATAACCCAATTGGTCGAACGACTCCTAAAACGGGGGAGTAATAGCGAAGTAAGTAAGAGCCAATGTTTTGCCGAAGTTCGTTTAGAGAACGGTCAGAAATAGACAATCGTCGTCTTTGCAACGCATTTTAAACTGCGGTTCAGCCAGCCAACGGCTATAGGCCGTTCGTTGATAAACGTCGTTTAATGTAAACTCTGTCTCTGCAATCGGCCGTAAAAGTTCCCAGAAACCAAGCTAGTAAGTGAGTCACCACGCATTGTTATCATATATATATATTTATATATATTCGAAAACAATATATATATATTGTTTTCGAACTTGTACCTTCTACATATGGAAATCTGTAAATAAACTGTAAATATTATCAATTTGAGTGTGGAGGTGTGCTTTCCATCGAACCTAGATCACTACATCGAATCGTGATTCACACGGAAACCAACTCAACGAGACGGAGTTAGGAAAGAACGGCAATAAGATCTTCACTAATTCATTATTAATGTAGTAAAATTTTAAATATTAAAATTAATTTCTCGTACGGAATTAATAGTAGAAAATGTCGAAATTAATTATTATTCAGATAGGAAAATTATGAAAATTTTATTAAATTTATAAAAAACAAATTAAGAAAATGTTTGAATTTATAAAAAATAAATGGTATATTTTTAATTGTATGATAAAATCAGTTCATATAAATAGGAAGTTTGATGTAGATGATAAAACAAGAGCTGTGATGTAGACGTACAACAGCTGAATCCTATAAATCAAGTTAGATAAGTAAACATTCTATAAATTGACACAATAGTATATCCGGGATTTTGATAATATGAGTGCTGTTTAGGTGTGTGATACAAATTTTTGTCTGCACTTTTCAAACTATAAGATAAAATTACTTTAGAATAAATGAAAGTACTTAACATCTTTTACTTTAGTCAGTTGTTATGCAGTGCGATCGTAAAGTCTTTCGGCACTGACGAGAAACGGGAGAATCTTCCAGGAACGAAGTAATGACGTTACGTAGCCTATTTGTGGCAGGACTCAAAATTATTTACTTGTCAGAACCTGTAATATCTGGAATAATTTTTCTTACGCTGTCTTAATTTTTAACCATGCCCAGTAACTTCAATAACTGCGTTATTCCAGGTTGTGCAAATTGGGCGCGAATACAAACGAATACGAAGTCTGCAAGTATGAAGTTTTTCTTTATAAACCTGATTATTAAAGCCAAGTATCGGTCTATAAGCTCGTTGCCTCTATTAAAGCAACCGAGGTAGACAAATCGAGAATAATAGACAGCAAAAGAAGTACCACTGAAATGCATCTCGAACGTATTAAATTACTTTTAAAAATGAAAAATAATTATATCATTCGATTTCAAGTTATTTTTTATATCTTAAAAATGGTTAATTCTATCGGATACTGGGAAACAGTTCACTTTTTTTCGGAATCCCGAGACAAGCAAAACAGAGAATTGAGAAAACACTAAAATTTAAAAGGTATAATAAGATTTTGTGATGTAAGTTGATTGATTTACAAAAACACCTGAAAGGAAAACAAAGTATTTTATAAGAATCGTTGATTTATAAAGATTACTTG